CCTTTTTTCAAGAGAGATTTTCATGACAGTGCATTACTAAATCCTAAAAATTCGAAAAAAATTATGAAATAGGGCTATTTTAAACATTTGCTGATTATTTAGTCAAAAATCGAGTCAGCATTCTCACAACGATTTCATCATATTTATAAATTATTATATTTAAAAATTTATAAATTGTTTGTTCAGCAATTCCATGCCAAAATCTAATTTCATTCGATCGACGATCTTTTCACAATATTTTTCAGTCGATTGGTTTTCGATTTATCTGCTAAAAATTTTGGAATTTTCTAAAACTGCTGCACAGTTCCATATCTATTATATTTATTTTTTAACCTAATTTTCCCACTCATTTACTAAAACCAAAAACAAATATTCTGAGAATTTCATGAGCATATTTCAAAGAAAAGCATATTAGTTTCCTAAAAAAATTTTGCAAATGATTTCTCATATATTAATTGCAATATAACAATTTTTGGTAATTATTTATTTACCCAAAGATTATCTTCTTGCGAATCCATTTCTCGAATTATTTCATTATTCAACTTTTGACAATCCTCGAATTATTTCATTATTTAACTTTTGAGCCTAAACCAAGCATAGAATAAGTAAGCGGGAATCAAATTTGACATTTTAACATTTCTAAATTCGTTAAAACAAATGTGAAAAATCAAATTTAGCGCTAACGACTTATATTTTCAGGTAAAATCTGGATGGTACTATCTGGAAAAACAAAGACGAGCTGGTGAAAGATATACAAAGCCTTCGAGATTTTTTATTTATAAATATTGTCCTATTCCTAAATTCTAGCGAATTTCTTGGGGTCGAATTATTCTTATTTATATCTGATTATCTTTCAAAAATTTAATAAATATTTTTAGTTTGCTAATAAAAGAGCTATCAGAAAAATTAAAGTAGTTTCGTTTCTTATATCTGCAGGATTTTCGCTTCTTTCGTGGATATAGGGGTAGAATTTCCGACTAGGAAAGCGATAAATGATGCAGAAAAGCGTGCTTTGTTTTACGTCGTTATTGTTATTGTTGCTGGTATTTTTTTCCAAATAGAAATATTTCACTTTTATCAGCCATAATTCTCAAAAATTACGCCTTCTTTTGATTCCTGGATATGGAAATTGGCCGATTAAAAAAGCATTTGAATTTTGTTTCACTATGGTTGATTTTGCCATTATTGATTATCTATAATGAACGACTTTATCAAATAGTTGCTTCAATGGTTACTGGATGGTTTCTAATAAACTCGTTAAACTGGTCACTGTTCAATAATAAATTATTAATATTTACTGGGAACCGATCTTATTCTTTTTATTTGGCTTATTGGATTTATACATTTTTCGCGAAAACAAAAGGGGATTTGAACTTTCACGGTACGAATGCGCTCATTATTTATTTTATTTTTTCACTCATTTTTTTCATTTGAACTGAAAATTTTTTTTTCAAAAGAAAAGTACAGAAAAATATTTGAAAGAAAAGCTAAAAAATCGAATGAAATACCATCAAAACTAGAACTTTGATTTTTAAAGTTTTCTTCAAGGACTTTGTCACCAGAAGAAAAAACATACTGCGGAGGCATAAAACTAAAAAAGTGAATCTAATCAATTTGTTTCTTCATTAATTACTTTTAAGTACCAATTAATGAGGGTAAAGAGGGAGAAGGCAGTTTTTATTAATTCAGAGACGTGCACTGAAGTTTAGTGTCATGCCGAAGAAGACGATTATAAGACGATGCACATGCACATGTAAAATAAAAAATCAAGTTGATAAGAACCAATTAAGTACAAGAAGAAAAGATTCCTGGCCCAATAAAGAAGATAAAGCCTGTCGGTGAAGCCAAAAAAAATGGGAGAATGATGAAAACTGCCTTAACAACCCCATTTCATTAATTGATCCTTCATTAACCCTTGACATAATTGCTGATAAGTCAAATACTGGTACAATTTTTTCTGTTTTCAATTTACGAACCCATAGCAGCCTTTTTACTTTCGTCATTTGGCGACATGACTGGCCTTTTTCCAGCAGCTCGCACCATTATTGATTAGACTGGTTCCATTGAATACAAGACCTGGCTGCCTCTAAATACTCGCTTATATGAAATTCAATTCTGAAATCAAAAGAAGTCACTCGTTTTTTCACAGTCTAGATCCCATATATTGTTGGGCCGTTCATTTATACGTTCAAAATCTCCTTCGGCTGCATCAGTTCAGATCTTATTTGGCCCTCTTCGTTTGATATATTGGTCCATCACAGGGTTTAACAAGATATGCATTAATTATTATAAGTGAAAAGCATAGTCTAACCAGCGTAAACGACAATATTATGAATGTAAAAAAATATTTGATCGAAGATATGTGCATTCATATGAGATTTTAATCGCATGAATGGTGCAAGATAGATAACTTCTTAATTCATCTTCCACTCTCACTGGTCATGTCTCGCAGCTATATAGCAAGATGATGCGCAATATAGATGCAAAAATTCTGATGGTAATTTCCCGGCGATTCCAAGAGAGTTCACCAAAGAAGAGCATCTAGTTGCGTTTATCATGTATGTAGTTTCGTCTCTTTTACTCCAATACAAGAGTGGATCAAAGATATTTAAAATCAGCCGCTTATCACGATGAGTTAAAAATAGGTAATAATAGATTATTAGCATATGGTATGTACGAAAAAATTTTCATCCTATTTATATTGCTTCTTTTGGCTGTGATCAGAATTATCAGCGTATTCAAGCCTACAATATTCTGGACTGAATTGTCCTTTTTCTTCTCTCACCATTACTGGTTTGGCTGACTTCAACGGCTACAAGGGTAAGACGCTTCCAAGCGGCGCGGTCTGGTGCCATCGACGACAGTAATAGAAGCCATTCCTTTTTCCATCGTCTAAGTCCATATATTGCTGGTCCATCTATACGTTCAAAATTTTTCCTGACCGTATCAGTCCAAGTCTTGATTGTTCTCGCTTTTGATGCCGCCCATCATACGGTTTAGCAAGCAACGAAATATTTGGTAACTCTTGTAAGTGACGACAGAGAACGTATCTCCACCGAAGGCCATTCTCTGTGATAACATTATTAATATTTGCTAAACCCTAGTATCTGAACGAAGATGTGATCATGTGATATTTCATCCGCTCGACGGACCCGTAAAATGTGCCTTAGATATGAGTGGTCAAAGGTAGATAGCTTCTTAGTATCACTCTCATTTGGTCAGAACCATATAGCAAGATCGAATGAACCACGGCTTATATACATGCGGACTTTCGTTTTAATGGTAATTTCACGACGGCTCCATAATGATTTCGTCAACCGGAAGAACGCATTTCTAGCTGCCTTGATCCAGGCTATAATATCGTCTTTTGCATGGCCATTTTAGAGTGGGCCCAAATTTACAAAAAGAGGCATTTTATCAGCTTCTTGCACATAAGACGAAAACTTTCGTTTTGTGTATATTGGTCCTGAGTCCTATTGCTGCAGTTTCTGACACGTTATTTAGCATTACTTGCATTTTAACACAACTGTTAGCAAAAAGGACTACATCATCAGCGTATCAAGATCTGTGATATGATGCTCTGGACTGATTCAGACACCTCTTGAGTGCCGACAAGCGGTGTCCATTATCTAGTCTATCGCATAGTTGAATATTGTGGGGAAAAGACACATCCGGATACCAGTTGATTTCGAAGAATTCTATCAGTTTCCCCATATAAATAGACTTATATTGACGTACCTGATAAAATGAGTCGAATGATCTTCTCTGGAATACTATCACGTTTCACCACCCTTCAAATCACCGCTCTATTAATTGAATCAAAGGCAACAGCAAAGTCTATGAAACATGTGATGAAGCAATGTTCCGACACCCTTCTTAACGTGAATATCTGGTCAGCATAACCTCACTCCGGTCTGAATCCAGCTTGATTAGGGTGCGTCCTACTGTCCCATATTTCCATAAGTCTATTCAGTAAACGGGAAGCAAAAATTTTCTGAGACATTTAGCAGGCTGATTCCTCGGTAATTGTCGTAGCACTTTCTATCACTTAGAAATGGAAAGTAGAATTGCTTTGCTTCAGTCTTCTGCTATTATTTCTGTTTCTCATACCAGAGAGTACATTTGTTGAAGGTGCGTTATGAATGACGGTGGACAACATTTAAAGAGTTCAGCACATCATCTGGAAGACCATCTTCTCCCGGAGTCTTATTGGCCTTAAGCTTATGGATAACAGACATTATTTCTTCTTCCTTAAGCTTATGGATAACAGACATTATTTCTTCTTCTGTCGGGGGCTCACAGTTGCAAGCGTATGGTTCAGCGAACGTATCAATTATATCAGAGTAAACATATGGCGCTTCATGGTTAAGTTTGGCCCCAAAGAATTCTTTCCATCTTATGAGGCGGTCCTTAATACTCTTTGCTAGCAAACCATTGTTGTCCCTTACCATTTAACTGATCGTTCCCCGAATTATAATTGCTTTTAGATGAAGAAGGCAGAATAGTTTCCTATTATCGCCTAATCGAGCTGCCGTCTTCATTCTTGAGGCCATGTCAATCCATTAATGATTTCTGCCGCGTCATGCTGCTTTCGTTACAAATCTTCGAAGCATCCGGTGGTCAGGATCACCTAATATTCCTGCTTTGGCAGCTTTTTCAGATAGTTGGACAGTTGCTTCCGATACCCAATTACCGCACTTCCTACAACTATGCCTAGCGTGAAAGTGGCTGACTTTCAGAGACATTCCTTCAGTTTGGACCAGTATTCATTTGCCGTTCCAGAAAAATATTATATCATTGCTTCAATAATTCGGTTTGAAATGGGCTCAATTTCCCCAAATTTTTTAATTTAAGGATCTTTGGGGATCTCTGTTTTTTTGTGAGTTGTCAGTTTTATGCGGATCTTTGCTCGAATCATAACATGGTCAGATTCATGAAGATTGACCGTTTCAACGCCGCGGCAAGAAAGACCATCTAGTACGGAACTCCTCCAACGGCGACTGACTAGGATACAATCAATCTGGTTGAAGTGTTGGTTATCCGGGGAGTTCCACGTGACTAGATGTTTTCGACGATGCCGGAAGCAAGTATTAGTAATAAAAAGTTGAAGGACTGAATTGTCTAATCAATGGTCCATCGCGTAGTTAAATATTTAGGAGAATGGAAGCAGCACTGGCGGACAGCAGTTTTTATTTCGAAGAGATCAATTAGTCCCAATACAATAGGTCTGTGTCAATATTCGCTGGTAAAATGCCCTTATGAGTCGACTAATCTCTAGAACATGGTATTTTACTGCCCTCCATAGCATCGCTCTGATTCAACTGAATCGAAAACAGCGATAAAATCACTAAAGCAAGTGAACCACCGATATTTTAAGCAATGTTACATTACATTTCTTATTTTGTGAATATTTTGTCAGCACCCCACAGTCAAAATCAAGCTTGATTAGGCACGTACTATTGTGTATCTTTTATTGCCATAAATCAGTTCGATTGATTAACATCAATTAGAAGGAAAATGGATTTTTTCAATCTTATCACCTCTCTTTGGAATTGGGAGCAGAATTGGATTTGCTGCAGCCATTCGATATTACTTTTTTCTTCCGTAGCGTGGAAAACATCTACTGAAATTGCGTTGAAGGAGAGATTTTGGAAAGCATTTAAAAATTTCAGTCCGACCGTCTTCTCTGAAAGTTTTATTCGCCTTAAATCTTATTCTGAAATATTATTGCTTGCTATGTTGGCGATTCGTTTTGCAAATTCTGTTCGATAAGGGTTCCAACTATGCTCGAATGAGAATTTCTTCTATTGAAGAACGCATTTTTCGAGACACCTTCATATTCTCGAATCATGTTTTTTTAGCGTTTCCAGAGGAATACGCTTCCCTTATGAAGAAGACGGAATAGCTTACTATTATTGCCTATTCGAGCAGCCATGTTCAGGGCCATATCGCTCCAATACCATGTCCTTTTTGTATGCATTCGAAGCGTCAGGTAGCCAAGATCTCCTGACGTGTATATTCTAAGGAACTTTAAAGCATTAAATATTAATGAAAATTTCGCGCTTTTCAGATACACTCGATACTACAATTTACACGACTCTTATTGCATTATTTATGTACAGATGTGCAGAAAAATATTTCCCATGTTCATCAAATAGTGTTTGCTTTGTAATTATAATCGTTGGTGGAATATTAGGAATTATGGTTATATTATTATCAATTAAGATTTTATCGAGCAATAGAGAGACACGCTTGGATACTAGTTATTCATTTTTCTAAAAATTAAAAAAAATTAAAAATAAATTAAAATTAAAAATTAAATTTCTCGAATATATTATTCTAGTATTAAAATATAAAAATAATAGATTTTCTCAAGAATGCGGTCATTTTTCTGAGGTGAATGTTCAATTAAGTGGTTCTCTTTCAACAAACAAACAGAGCCAATTTCTAATGCTCATTTAGGAGATATTTGATTCATTTATTTAAATTTTTTTCATTTCATCCACATGAATTTTCGAAATTTGGAAGGGATACTTACGTGCGAAAAGATCTGATAGACCTGATAGATCCGGAAGTTGGCTGTGTTTCATAGTGGAAGCAGATCCAAAAGAAAAATTGAAAGAAAAAAGTGTATACCAGCCAAATATTATTCAATCACCTGCGTGCTAGAAATTCAGCGAAGAATAAATGCTTCAATCGTTAGTCTTCAATTCTCACCAGTGGCTCATCAAGAGAAACAACAGCAATAACTCACAAACTCAACATTTATGGCAAAAAAACTCTACTTCGCATATGGTGAGAATTCATTTTAAGCCACGAAATCACCTAAACTGATGTTTATTGCGGCTAACTCATTGGACTTCAACAACGAATTTCATCGAAATTGCTCGCAGTAGCCAAAAGAAACATTTTAATACTGCAACATGAAAGCTTCGAAAATACATGCCAAAAAATCAAGGAATTCGCTTTTATCTCATCAACCTTACACTCTCCACTTGAAACGACCATTGTTTTGGTCTCCGCAACATTAACTATTTAATTCCAAAAATTTTCTTCTTTTCGCGAACAGTCTTGAACATTTTTTTGAAATCTGAAGATGCAAGTTTTTTTTTTGAGTTAAAGGGAACGTGTGAAATAGTTTATGAAATAGATAAAAAAAGAAAAGAAAAATGTGATGGTTAACTAATTGATTACTAACTAGTTTTCTTAATATTTTAATCCAAATTTTTCATATAAGTACGATATTATTTATTTGTTCACATTAAAGCAGTGATAAAATAAATTTTATCAAATCGGTTTGACATCGTTTTTTATCACTTGTTGTATTTAATACTTTTAATTAAACTTTCTATTATAAAATAAAAACAAATTGAAATTTCTTAAGTTATTTTTATCATTTTTTAAGATGAATCAGTGATGGCGGCAATAACAACATTGGTTGATATGAATCAATTATTAATTAATCGGACAATATTGTACAAGGCTATCCAAATGAATAAACTTGCTATTCGCAAACAAAAGCCGATTCTTTTGCAATTTAAAGAGACCAGTGATGACGCAATTATTAGAAAACTATCGAATCTTGGTGTGGTGCAGCCAACTATTTCATATTATGAATTAAGCCATTAAATCATGACAGCTTAATTTTCATGGGATTTTGGTATTATTCAGCGATATTCATCCGTTAATCTTTTTTAGGGCTCTGGAAGCACTAACGTGGTCGTATATGGCAACAGTTTAGCTCTTGCAGCATTCTATTATATAGCTCAAGCATTTTCGCCATCCAGAATCCATCGCATTGTGCTACTTAGCGCACCCGGATGCCTACCGATGTACGACACAGAATCATTCCATAGATGGCCGAATTGCTCGCTTTTTGCGAATGAAGCACTAAGAATAATTAGTGAATTCAAACCTGACGTCGTTTTTTTAAATTTCAAGTAATTCATAGTAATTCATTTAAATTCTAGCACACTTTTAATACAAACGTTCTTCAAAAACACCACGTGAGCTGTTGTGCTGATGAGTTTTTTATTATTCGCTTATCACTATTCTGCCGGCTTTTCTGCCGGCATTTGAGTCGAATCAGTTCGAAATGCAATCACTACAAGACAATGGACAATGAAAAATTTTCGATGTTGCTTGCGATGAGATTTATTATTGGTGCAAATAATAATAACTTTAAGCATTTTAGATTTCACCAGCCACTCGATTCGCCCATAAAGAACATTTCTGACGATATTGTCGTTTATAAGCTGCAAAAAACTATTAATGATATTATGAAACATACGAAAAGAATAGTCTTCACATATCCTCATCCCCACTTGCGGTTATCATTCAAAGAAAAACACTGAATTTCAAAAATTTTGTATTGTAGTTGTTTCTCTAACTCGGCAAAACTTTATGGCCGTTCATCTTTAAAATTACATCGTTGGAAATTATTCTCATTTCAGCGTTATTGTGGGCCCACAAATTATTTACGATAGGCTTATCAGAAAAGTGCCAATCACCGATCTCAATATGCCTTTTACTCATTTTTTAAAATATTCTGCAAATGCTTATCGACGAGTTAATGCTCTCATATGCAAGAAATGCGATTATGTGTTCAGCTACCGATTTTTTTGCTATGATAATGTTTGTTATTCTGGCTAATTGATCTCAGTTATGTTCCCAAACAAAGTTTTAATATTTCCATTTCTTGATTGTTGAAGCTTCCTATTTCTTCAGATTATATTTTTTAACTATTGTGAAATCTATCAAACTGCTAAACGCTGCAATCAGTAGCACAATAATACTTCTAAAATTTAGATTTGTTATTCTTACGATCCAAAAACATATGTGATTTATTATCAAGACGGTGCGCATTTGGGACTACATGGAATCGAATTTTTAACACCTTATTATAGAGAAATTGCCGATGAACTTTATGCGAAAGCGTATATATAATCTATTTCCACTGAATTTAATGAATAAATTTAAGAATAAATTTTTAAGATGCTCATTACATCCGACGACAGTTCAATATTTTAAATGCATATTTCGATTGCAATATAAAGTAATTGGAAACATTTGTGTAATGAATTTCCCTCTGTAATATTCTATTTTATTTCAATTTTTTCTTTTCTAATAGCTCCAGGAATTGCAATTACTTAAGCAATTACGGTAAAACCAAGTAAGTTTATCAATCTTCTGATACTCTCATTATGTTTCGCAGCCTTATAGCATAGCATGACTATGCTTACTACAATTAGAGATATGCAAAAAAACAAAGTTTTGCAGCTAATTTCGCGGTGATTGCACAAAAACTTCGATATTCGGAAAAAAGCACTCCTCATTGAAATGGTCTTTCAGTTTTCTCTTGGCTTAATTAAACAGAAGAATTGGTCAGAAGATAGTTTAAGAACCTAAATTCACATAATTGAAAAATTTCATCAGTTTCTACATATAAAAGAGAGTTTCATCATATTTACAGCGATTTTCCTTCGCACGATTGGAGTCTTTACAACATTTTTGTCGCAATACATTGTAACAACAAGCGAAAAATGCGTAAGCATGTTCGTGAAGTTGAAATGTTCATTATCGTAAATGGATATCTTTCAAAAATGCATTTTTTCATTTTTCATTCAATAAAAAATAATTTGGTATAATCTTTCTTTTTATTCTAACAGCTCTCACCATTACTGATTAGGCTGGTTCCGCTGGCTACGAGGGTAACAAGCTGCTCGGTGCAATGCCATTGCTAGTAGTAAATAGAAACCATTCCCTTTTCCAGCGTTTAAGTTCATATATTGCTGGTCTCTCTATACGTTCAAAATATTTTCTGACAGTATCAGTCCAGGTCTTGATTGGTTCTCTTTGCTTTTATTGCCAGCCATTACAGGGTTCGTCAAATAGCAAAATATGTTTCAACTTCTGTGGTTGATGACGTAGAACGTGCCCTAACCAGCGAAGGCAACACTCTGCAAATACAGGTGGTATTTGAGAAAAAATGGATTATGTGCGTTCAACAGATCCGTAAAATGTATCTTAGACATGAGTAGCCAAAGACTAAAAGGCTTCTTGATATTTTCCACTCTCATTGACCATGTTTCGCAGCCATATAGCAAGATCGAGCGAATTGCAGCTAAATGGACGCTGATTTCGTTTTTATGGTGATTTCGCGACAGTTCCATAAAACTTTCGTCAAATGGAAAAACACGTTATTTGACATGAAAACATATTTGGCATGTTTTTTCATCCTTTAGATTTCATTCTCTCCCTGGCCATTTGTGATTAGAGTGGATGCAAGATATTTAAAATCACGTTCTTCTTAAATTTGGTGCAATCAAAGCACTGAGTATCCAAAAAGAATGCAATGATTATCTCGAAAATTCATCGTCATTTTGATCATTCCATAGTTCTACATATTTGCGCCGCTCTTAATTTGAAACGAACCATAGGAATCACAGCGATCCTTCTCCAAAGGAAAAAGTTTTTAAATTTTTTAGTTTGCCAATTAAAGAAATAATGAAATGGCTGACATTTTCGAAAGTAAATGGTTTCTTTTCTTCTTTAATCTTCTTAAATAAATAAAATAATCCATTTTTGATAATCTGTTGATCTATCATGAAATACCATGAAAAATTGAGTTCACAACAAATTTTTGGATAAATTACCCCATAAGAAAGTGCTTGGTCTCATGAAAATCGCTGATTTTCGAAGTGTTTTTGTGGTTTTTGATGATTATTGCAAAATTGCCTTCTTTTTTTGCTTTGTTCTATAAAAAAATGGAATTTTAATGTTGTGTGGTACTAATATACAACTTTAGACTTTGGATTTGATAAGTCTTTTATAATGGATTTTATTATCACCGTCATGGTATCATATCAGCTTGTTCTATTCGCATTTTAAAAATATACACTGGAAAATATAAATCTGGAATTCCGAAAATTAACTTTTCTTTTAACTTTCTCTGGTCAAAAAAGAATTTAATTTTA